TACTGGGTAATAAGTAACTACATGTAGCCTATAGGGTTAGGATTAGGGTTTGGCTTGGTTCAGAGTTATTGGCATATAAGTATGCATAATTGATAGTTATCACTATATTAACTGCATGTGACATATGTAATAATGACACTGTAAAATAATGTTAACCTATTCCCTGCTAATCATAGTTACCTATGATTATGATTAACTATGTTACCAGAAACATTGTTGCTAGTGTCACACCTTAATGATCGATTGCCCAAACATTCTGAAAATGTTTTGACTTAATGGGCTATATGCACGCATAAGTTCCGCATTGGACGCAAGGTTGCTCGTCCATTTCCGGTTGTGGAGATTTAAGCGGTGGAGAACAGAGGAAAACGGGATTATGGCAGAGTCTTCAAAATTTACTGTCCTCCCGTCTTTGAAAAGAAATGTTCATACGTTTAGATGTAATTTTATATATAGTTATGTTTATTTAATATAATTTTAAAAATAAGCATAAACACAACGAGGGGTGTCTGTTTTATCTGTTTTTGTTACTAACGTTTCTTTATTATAACCATGGAGTATAAAATTCAATATAAATTCTCAGTATTGCTTTGGACTCAACGATCGGCGGAAGTTATCGAGCCTAAAATCATAGTGGATGTGATGATTGGATGGCCAATTACAAAAGGTAAATTATGCATAGAAATATGCATATGCTACTGTGGAGATGACGAGTCAGCATTGTCAACTTCATCACTGCAGCCGAAAACACAGAAAACTCTAGCAGTGCATGGATTTTGAATATTGTTAGTCTGTTTGTATAAGTTTGATTATGATTAATTAAATATCAGTAAACTGTTATGACCTAAAAAAAAAGCCAAATTGCACAATTTGATCACTTTTGATCACTTTTAACAGAAGAAAAGTGTTATTTAGATGTTATGTGCAGAGAATTATTACATATTAAAAATTAATACGCTTTATCTAATCAATAAAATTGTGGCAACCGATTACAAGCAATATTATTAATTAAATTTAACAAATTAGAATTGAGTAATAATTAATCAAATTAATTCCTTAAAAGTTAACTATTTAAAATGAGTAAAGTTTACCCCCAAAAATGTAACAAAAATATCTGAATAACAGACAGACGTCAAAGATTAATTAATAACTCTTTATTTTATATTGCCAACATTGATGAGACCTGATGTCAACAAGCAGAATCACTGAAGGAGAAAACCTTACTTTTAAAACAAACCTAAAACAAACACTGATCACCATAATGGTGACTTAAATGTATGTTTTTTGTTTGTTTGTTGTTGTTGTAAGTTTTACTCATTTTAAATGGTTAATTTTTAAGGAATTAATTTGATTAATTATTACTCAATTCTAATTTGTTAAATTTAATTAATAATATTGCTTGTAATCTGTTGCCACAATTTTTTTGATTAGATAATGCGTATACTGAAATACAGAATACACTCACCTAATGGATTATAAGGAGCACCATTTCTCATTAATGCAATTATCTAGTCACCGGGTGTTCTCTTCCATTGATAGTCTGGGATAAGACCGCTCCTAACCCCATATCAGAGGCATCGGGTTGAAGAGTGAAGGGTTGAGAGAAGTCTGGACTGTGCAGCACTGGCAAGGAAGACAAAGCGGCTTTAAGGTTTTGGGACGCCTCATCTACTGCGGGACTCCACTGAACCTTGTTGGGTTGGCCTTTCTTTGTTAGGTCTGTGAGTGGAGAGGCCAAAGAGGAAAAATACGGTATGAAACAGCGATAGTACCTGCTAACCCCAGAAATGCACGTACCACATCGACCACATCATCCAAATAGGCAGCAGCGTATTGCTGGTGGGGCCTTAGAACTAGATCAATCAACCTCTGGAACGTAGCGGGATCTTCATGCAGGCCAAAAGGAAGGGTCCGATATTGCCAGTGCCCTGAGGAGGTGTTAAAAGCAGTTTTCTGCTTGGAATCTGAGCTTAGGGGTACCTGCCAATATCCCTTTGTGAGATCCAGAGTGGAGATGTGCCGGGTCCTCCCTAGTCGCTCAATCAGTTCCACTTGGGGCATGGGGTAGCTTTCGAACAAGGAGACGTCATTCAGCTTCCTGTAGTCATTACAGAAATGGAAGGTGCCATCAGGTTTCGGGACTAATAGAACTGGGATGGACCAGTGGCTGTTCGAAGGTTCTATGACCCCCAGCTGGAGCATCTTCTGGGCCTCTTCCTCAATGGCTTGTCGACAGGGCAATGGACAATGACACCAGGAGGGGTTCAAATCCCATGGGAGACAACTATGGTGTGACCTGGAAGATTCGAGAAGACATCTTTGAAGCTGTGAACCAGGGACTCAAGCTCCTTTCGCTGATTGTCCGAAAGCTGGCTTGGCAGTAGTCTCAGCCTCAGACGTCACGCCCACGGAACGTTGGCTAAATGTCTGATGCATATGGTACACTTAACTGGAAACACTTCAGGAATGTCGAAGTCGTCATCTGATTGGTTGAATTTTATCGGATTTCCGGGGGGCGTCAGTGTCGCGTTTATTTTCGGTCCGCCAGGAAACAAAGCGCAGACGTGTGATTGCGGAAGAAAAACTTGAAAAGTGACAATGAGCATTAATCAAGATCAGCTAAACGTAGTTGTATGTCCCCTCCTATCTATTATGGAAGATCAAGTGAAGTACTTAATTGCGAAGGGGATATCAGCCGTTTGACTGGGTTTGCATTATGCATCCACTAGATGTGCTAAACTAAAGGCTAAAGGGAATGTAGCGAGTGCGTGGCGGCAGAGGTGAGGCGTTTATTTAGTAGGCGTGTGCGCGCTGGGGACGGGGACGTAACTTACATTCGCAGCCTGACTCATGCGAGTATTCAATGTTTGGCGGCTCGCTGACAGCTAACGTTACAGCTGGCTGTTTTGAATGAGACGAGCCGGTTACTGTGAACGGGGAGCGCTTTATGAACATAACTGTGACGCACGAGCAGCGCCGGGGACAGTGTGTCTGTTAAGAGTGAGCGCTCGTGAGCGGGCACGTGATTTACACACATAACCTGATTTATACGAGGTTGAACTGGCCGTGTGACAAAGCGGACATAAGATGGACATGAGCGCGAGTTCGTGGGTGAATTTAGTAACGCAGAGCTTTGTTAACGAGCGCCTCCGGTGACTGCTGCTGTGCTGGCTGACTTGTTGCACGCCGGTCTGATGTTGTGGGGACATTTCCACGCCCCGAAACGTGACGCTGAAAGAAACAAACTGTAATTGGTTGTTTGACATGTCGGTCAAATGGCCTTATGGGCGGGCCTTGGCCAAAGAAAGCTGCTATGAATTCCAGACCTTCAGCCGTCAGTCTGAAGGTCTGGCTACGCGAGACTAGCTTGGCAGTACCGTCACACATCCGCATTGATTCCTGGCCAATGAAGCGGTCCCTGAGCCTTTGAAGAGTGTTGTCTGCTGCAAGATGGCCAGCCATTGGGTATGTGTGAGCCAAAGAAATCACCTTATCTTCCCCCTTGGCAGAACTAGGAACTCCTTATCTTCTCCCCGCCTGGTGACCACGCAATATAACAAGCCGTTCTTTACCACAAAGTGCGGAGTGGGGTGGGGAGGTGGCATATGGTCCTTTCCCTCTAGAACTCTGATCTATTTCCAGCAGTGTCGGAGTCTGTCATCCTCGCGCTGCTCTCTGGCAAGGGACCCCCCCATCGAAACCTGCTGGAACAGATCAGAAAAGATATCCAAGTGGTTATTAGTTGAATCACCCGCTCTCTCACTTTCCGAGGTTAGGTTAGCCGGGTGACCGCGTGACTTCACCTTGCGGCCCGAGGGTCCTTTTTCGGCGAACAGGCTTCTCTGCTCGTCTTAGTAACTGGTCAAGCCCCGGCCAGTCTCTCCCCAACAGCAGAGAAGATCCCTGATGACACCCATCTCAATCGACCAGGTACCTGGGGCAGCTGAAACAGAGACAGTGCAGGCAGGGACATACTTTGGGTCTCCGTGGACACAGGTGATGGTAAGAAGTGCTCGGCCTGGCCTTTCTGGTCCGAGGAGCTGGGGCTGGATCAGGCTCACGCTGCTTCCTGTGTCAAGAACGTCTCAAACACGGCGTCCGTTGATTTGAACCTCTTGCTTGGGGGCACTGTCTGGGACATTGTGGTAAACAATGCAGCCCACCATCCAGGCTTTACCCACTGGTGGGCCTGGGTCCGTGGGCATCGGTTCATCAGGCATACGTATGTTAGCACATTGGGCTATATATAGGTGACATATGAATATATTGTGCAATACATGTATTAAATTGTATGAAATAATCCCAGAAAAAGCACAAACACAGCTGAGGGTGACGCTAACAGACAGCAGACAAACTCAAGTGGCCACGCCCTTAATTATGCAGAAATTTAAGGCTTAATATAATTTAAATGGATGAGTTGTGAAAAAATTCACCCCCCTTACAGTCGTCATGAAGGGCAAAATTAACAACTATTGCCACCAGGCTGTAAACATGTTTTTTTTTTCTGCTGTGATGTTAGACATTTTAACATGGAGGAGATACAGATTTGAGATACAGCCAGCCTCAAGCGGCCACTCGATGAATTGCAGGCCACTCGATGAATTGCAGTTTATTTCACTTCCATGTTGGTTTCAAGAGAGAGACGGGGAGGTTGCCGCTTGGTCATGACATGTTTTTTGTTGTTGTTGTTGTTGGTTGTTTGGTACAATTATAGTATGCAATTATAGTATTATCTGACCAGTTGATCATACTAGAATATCAAAATCAACTGCAGGCGGTAGATCTTTCTCTTATTTAGCAGCTAAATTTTGGAACTGTCTTCCTAACATTGTCCGGGAAGCGGACACACTGGCATTCATTTAGAACATTATACATTTCATTTGGGGATATTCAAATGAATTAACCAATCATTAATACCATTGATCAGCTCTACCAAACGTGGATGTTTTTCCACTAAGAATCGAACACTGTTATTATGTTTTGATTCTTTTTATTCCAAGGTTTACAGAAGTCAGCCGGATCCGGGCTGTATCCAGATCAGATGGTGAGCCTTATCCAGATCAGAAGGTGGGCCTTATCCAGATCAGATGGTGGACCTATGCCTGGACCCACCCACAACCATTTCTCTAAAAACTTAAAGAAATACATTCTTGAGAACCAGCTGTGTCAGCATCAGTGCGTTTAATGTATACATTGTGAGTAGAGATGGTCCTTTGAATATGTTCTCTCATTTTGTATCTGATTGTTTTAATATGATTGTCATAGACTAATATGCGTAGCTATATTACTATTCGTAGTTGTTTTGCAATGTTCTAATGTCTTAAATTGTGTGCACCTGCCCGGGGACTGCGGATGAAAACTAGCTTCGGCTAACTCTGGCACAAAGCATCTCTTCGCAAGACTAATGTATTTTGTGCACTGTCCCTGATAAATAAATTAAAAAAAATAATAAATAAATAAAAAAACGCATCCCTGAAGTGCCAGCCTCATCAGTCCTGTGAAGGCCTCATCGACACAACAGCCATCGGCACTGATTCATGTTTTCACTGTGACACTGCTTTGATGCAATCTGTATTGTAAAAATGGCTGAATAAATAAAGGTGATTTGACTTGACTTGACTTGACTTGGCTTGAAGCAAAAAGATCAATATTAAAGGGTTAGTTCACCCAAAAATGAAAATTAAGTCATTAATTACTCACCCCCATGCTGTACCAACCCCGTAAGACCTTCGTTCATCTTCGGAACACAAATAAAGATATTTTTGATTGAATCTGAGGGCTGGATCACTCTTCCATAGACAGCCTGAGGGACTGCCTCTTGACGGCCCAGAAAGTCATTAAAAGAAAAGGTTTAAATATTCCATGTGCCTACAGTGGCTCAACTATAACTTTATCAAGCGACGAGACTACTTTTTGTGCAAAAAAAAAAAACGTAAATAACGACTTTATTCGACTTTCCATTACTTCCTTATGGGCGCGTGCGCGAGAACTGAGACGAGACCGTTCTTCTTCGACTACTTTTTGTTACCGGCTGCTCACCGCTTAGGAGTTTTACCGCCCCCTACCGTATAAGATGACGTACTGCTTGTAAACAGAACGTTTTGCGCCTCCGGCTATATCAGTACGTCATCTTATACCGTAGGGGGCGGTAAAACTCCTAAGCGGTGAGCAGCCGGTAACAAAAAGTAGTCGAAGAAGAACGGTCTCGTCTCAGTTCTCGCGCATGCGCCCATAAGGAAGTAATGGAAAGTCGAATAAAGTCGTTATTTACGTTTTTTTTTCGCACAAAAAGTAGTCTCGTCGCTTGATAAAGTTATAGTTGAGCCACTGTAGGCACATGGAATATTTAAACCTTTTCTTTTAATGACTTTCTGGGCCGTCAAGAGGCAGTCCCTCAGGCTGTCTATGGAAGAGTGATCCAGCCCTCAGATTCAATCAAAAATATCTTTATTTGTGTTCCGAAGATGAACGAAGGTCTTACGGGGTTGGTACAGCATGGGGGTGAGTAATTAATGACTTAATTTTCATTTTTGGGTGAACTAACCCTTTAATAACTTTATAACGGCCGTACGCAAGTTGAGTTCCGGCTGAAGAGTGAACTCTGAACCGACGCATTATGTGTTGCCAACTTAGCGACTTTGTCGCTATTTTTAGCAACTTTTCAGACCCCTTTAGCGACATTTTTTCAAAAAAGCGACTTGCGACAATTTTAGCGACTTTTGGACAAACCTCAGTAACCTCCAAATGTTACCAGTACTGTCCTGCGAGCACGAGCTCTTACTGTCTCCCTGCCATCACTCTCTCTCGCTGCGTCTCCCCTGTTCAGTGAATGGCTGAGGCCCTGTCCACACTACTGCGTTTTCGTTTAAAAACGGAGACCTTTTCCTACGTTTGCACCTCCCGTCCAGACTAAAATGGGAAAAACGAAGACCTAAAACGGAGAAGTTGAGAAACGCTGCTGCTCCGTTTTGCGTTTTGAATCTGCGGAGGGCGTTTTAGTGTAGACGAGACAAAATGGAGGACTTCAGAAACGCTGACGCAGGGGCTGACGCACGGCTCTATGATTGGGTGTTATCAGTCATGACGTATCCTTCCCTGATTCGTCAATCACTGTTTACACCGGCACGCGCATGCCCAGTGTTGGTGAATGGTCACGTGATCCACGTTTTCAGTCGTTTTAATGTGGACGGAGACCATTTCTAATACGCAGATAAAACGCTGGTGTGGACGGAGATCGTATTCGTTTTAATTCTCCGTTTGTAAACGAAAACGCAGTAGTGTGGACGGGGCCTAAGAGGAGCGCACGGCCGCTGACAGACGTGAATGAGAAGTGTTTTTCCATGGACTTATCACTTATCTGCATTCTTTTGTTTTATATTTAAATAATTTAGTTTGATCATTCATTTTATTTATTTTCTTGTGCTTGTTATTAATTGGAACCGTAACACTCACTATCATAGAGCTTAGTTCATCCGGTTCTCTAACTCTCTCAATTCAGATAATGTTCCACATAGGCCTATAAAAAATGTAATCATTCACTATATTATAGTTACTCGTTCTATTATCTGACAACAAAAAAGATAGGAAATGAAAACAGCTTTATTTGACATTCGGCTATTATATTAATAGAGCATTCATTTAGAGAGAAAACGCACTAGGCTGACAGGACGCAAGTACAACGCGATGACGTATTTGATATGCTAATTAGCGTATGACGCCATCTAGTGACATTTAGCGACTTTTAGGGAAGGTCTTAACTACTTTCCTTTGAAAATGGCAACAATGATTATGTGCGATGTAGGAGTAGCATAAGCTTAGGTGAGAGTATGCCTCTGGTGATTCAAACAAACAGGGCTGGGCAACAAACTCAAGCTCCTATGACATTTCTTTTTAAAAATTGTTGCTTTAGACTTCTAATTCGTGACCGGTGTTTTGTTTTGCTCTCTGCACTTCCGTGTTAGCACATGTTTATGTTGTTGTGCTCTTGCCAGAACTTGACTTGTGTAAGTCTGTTATTGGAAGCAAATGATTACAGTTTATAAACTATAAACATGGATTAAAAAAAAAAATAATAATAATAATAATACAAAAATGCATCTTTTAGAAGGCCTTTATGGATTATGATGGATTATTATGGATGAATGCGCTTTTTGGGGGCTTCAAAATCTCAGGCACTATTCATTCCCATTATAGAGCATGGAAGAGCCTTGATATTTTAAAATATTACTCCGATATTGTTTGGCTGAAAGAGAAAAGGTCATAAATACCTAGGATGGCTTGAGGGTGAGCAAACTATGGGATAATTTTCATTTGTGGGTGGACTAATCCTTTTTAATTAGGATGATCAGACCCCCTTTAAACACTCTTTATTAATTCTCCACCTGATTTCAGCTCCAAGTTATTTGAATCTGAAGTAGACATGTAGAACGTGGCTGGGAACTGTCAAGCAAGTGTGCTGTAGTGCGTCTCAGTGTGTCTTTAAGTAGTACGCTGCGGTAGGAGGAGTTGTATGGGTTGTGACGCCGTGGTGCTGAGTCTGAACAGCCACTGTCCACCTGCAGTAAGGCGAAAGACCGAGCGGGACAATATTCTCTGCGCATCGCTCAGCGGAACCCTGCTACCGACTGCACATCTCACAGGAATTATCTCCACGTTTGTGAATAACAAACACCTGCCTCCTCTGCTGATGGCAAAAATGAAAACCGGCTGCGCGGTTCTTGTGGCGTGTGCCTTAGTTGTGTGCACATCTTTGGTAAGTCCAAATGTTTTATTTACAAACATCCTGGAAGTAATAGCGCTTGCAATTAGACTCTCGTAGGCTGGACAAATGAAATAATACACTTGTGTTTGTTGCGTTTTATGTGCGTACTACTAACTAAAAGAATACAGTGGTGCATCGAGCGTTCACTTTGACTGTTTGGAAATCAAAAATTGCCTTCTCGGCACTTCTATAACAGGCGATTTCTTCTTCTTTCTTTCTTCTAAATAACATTCAGACGAGGAAATCAGTTTTTGTTGAACACTGGTCGTCTATCAGTAAGCTGCAGTGGCTCGCAGCTGCACTTTTAACACACATTGCAGAGGATGCGGCGATGCCTGTGGTGTGTCTGATAATAGTGCGGCTCTGTCGTTACTGAAGGAGTATGTGAATATGCAAATCAATTGTATTAGTATTAAGGTTCACGTCGTAGAGTAGTACTTGTCCCATTCTTAATAGGAACATCAGGAGTGATTTAACTTGTAGCATACTAGGGAACTAGTTGCTTTGCATGGTCTGTGATGTCTTACGTTTAGGAATTATGAAACATTCATTCAAGAAGGACCCTACAAGTAAAGGAAATCTAGGAGGTGCTGGGGTGTTGCTGTTGAGTAAATATAAGTTCTGGAAAAAAGACACATATTACCCTGTTGGATGTATAGCAGATATTGACATTCTCTTTGATGACTCATTCAGAATAAAATCTGTATCTGGGGGTGAGATATAGCTATAGAGCTGCATTCGCATGGTGGGCAGAGGCAGCGCTGCTTTAGAAAGTAACCATCTCACAGCCCTCTGACTAATGTGATCTGTAGGGATGCTTTGACAGACTTCCTCCGTGGATACATGAAAGAGCTTAGAGCGTCGGGTCTTTGTTGTCTTGATTTTTTCAGGTTCACAGTTGTCTGAAGAATCAGGAAAAAAAAAAAATATAGGGAGAGAGAGACTCCTAAAGGCAACCTCTCGTTCAGTTTAGACACAGCAAGGCCTGAGCTTGAACCCTGAATCGTTTTAGAAAAGCCTACCTTACTGAGACTAGGATAACCTGAATATGACCCACCATCTAATTATGCTAAATCTCCATGGTGAGCGCTATCCATTGATGCACACACACACACACACACACACACACACACACACACACACTAGGTCACTATCCTAAAATAGATGCCACTGTAATGGGCACAATTTCTCTACTGATTCACATGGCAGAACTCCAGCGCAACCTTCTTTCTTCTGCACTTCCTGTCTTCTGTCGCATCCTCGTTTTCTTCCTCGGTTTATTTTAATCATCAAACAGGCTCATTTTGCTCTTGTTAATTTTTTAGAGAATCTCTTGATGTTTTCACTCATCTTGTATAGGCCTAATTTATTTTTTATTTTTTTAAACCACCATCAGGGCATGAGAATGCAGGATTCTAAATGAGAATTAAATCACAGATTTGTTGCTTTTCATGTAGAATTTGTTAATTTGCGTATTTTCATGGAATTGTATTCAAATACTCAACTGGACTACAGAAGTGATTCGTAGGGTACATGCACTCCGGGTATTTAAGCAGGTTACAGGGGGTACTTGGAAATATTTAGGCTAGCTAATCTTTATGATTAATCTTTTAATCTTAATAATGATTAAATGAATTATATACATTTAATTAGATTTATAGATTTGCATAACAACATATTTATTAGATTATGTTTGACAGGTTTATTTTTATTTTTATTTTATTTCACTTATTGATATTTTTACTTGAAAGATTCTATATATTAATGAATGATATTGACTTACAATAGTGGTTATAATATAACTGATTAAGTGAATTATAAGTAATATAAAAAATAAAGTTAAATTATTTAAGTAATACATTTCTGGTTTGCCGTCATCAAGGGCCTATATAAGTACAAAGTTTTAAAGCTAGTCTATTGAACAGTTTTTTCAACCCTAACAGTAAATAGTTGCATCCCTGCTCTGTGAGTTTGCCTCCTGAAGTTATTTATATCGGTTTCGATAACCTTGAATAAGAACCACAACCCTGTGGTCACAAATCAATTTGCCTAACCACTTCCCCTCTCCTGTGTCTTCATAGCCAATAATGTCTGTCTTTCTCAGGGGAGTCACGGAAATGCTCAGACCATCGCTCCATGCAGACCAGGTTTCTCCCAGAGCTCATACACCGTATTTGTCCCCAGGGGTGTGCTGCAGGGCCTGAACATTCACAAAGGTAAGAGCTTGCAGTGCATTGCATGATTCTCTACAGGTTTATGTGTGTGTGTGTGTGTTTTAATCTCAGTGGAGCTTCAGCAACAGTTTTGTGGGTGAATGTAAATGCTCGTGCCTTCCTCAGTCTGTGTGTGTAGGCTAAATGTAATGTTAAATATAATTTCTGCTTGATTATTGCATATTTCTGGAGAATGCACAATGATTCCCAAATGATCAGAAGGTGTGTGTTGCAGAATATTCTTCTGGACTCTCACCCATGCAGTAATTTATACTAGTTGTGCTGTATGATTCCTCAAAAGGTTTTAACAACGATTCAAAACCTGTTTCAGCCAGCTTCGAAATAAGCACAGTGTGGAATAACAAGCACAAATAAACGGTTTAGAAAGGATGAGCGGAGATGCAGATATGCCCGCGTGCTGAATGTTGATAGTACACTCAGGACCAGTAATGCAATTAAAACACGTTTAAAACACACTATGCTTCTCAAATGCAATTTTCAAGGTCTGCGAATCGTCAGGTGATGCTTTTAAAAAACATGTCCATGGTGTGCCAAAAGCAACGCTTCCATCTAGGTGGGTGTCAAAAGCGTGTACACGTTCCTAATCGCCGAGAGCTACAGTTGGCACACGTCTGCATTAATAAAATGCACAAAGGCAGCGTTTCCTATCAAAATCAATATGCATATTATTCAGCTTTATTTTGACTATCAGACAAACCTTGGCTGGATGATTAAAAACATAAATAAATAAAAAATGGAAATAAACCCTTAATCTGAATTTAATGGATAGTTCAGTGGCCCGGCTGGCTACAGAAGCCTCATTTAAATCTTCTGTTCGACTCCCGCTGGGTGTTTTTTTTTTTCTGCTTTGAGCTTTAAGCTTTCGCTTTTTCTTTTTTTTTTCGCTCCCCCTCTGTCCTGCATGTAATACAGTTCCTCTATTCTTTCCCACTTCTTTTCAGCAAGATTTCAGCCGTCCTTTTATACTGTCGCTTTCCATTGCCATTGTGCGTGCATGTGTGTGCGTTATGCGAGGATATGTATTATCTGTGGAATTTGTTTTGCTGTTATGGAAGGAGAAAAGACGTCGGGGGGAAAATTGGACTTGCAGAAACAAATCATACAAGAAAATGGCACATTGATTCGATCAATTACCTGTTTTTTCCACTGCATTCAAAACTTTGATTTAGTATAACTGTTATCAGAGTAATCAATGGATTTATTCACATGAGCGTGGTTGTGTAGAGAGAGTTTTATTTGTTGTTCTCAATCTGACTGCAACTTTGCGCTGATGCGGGAGCACGAACAATCGAATTTTCGCAGTAATTGCAGAAATCTGCTTTGGAAGGATGTGCTCTTATTATACATATTTTATACCCTGTTTATCGTACTTCTACGGCCTGTTTGTTTTGATCCCAGCCTGTGGAGGTGTTGAGGGAACAGTGACATGTCAGATGTGCTTGTTACACAGCAAGTCGGTTGAGTGTTGGCGTGCGTGTCCAAGTGCTCATGCATGAGTCAATCATTTTGTTTACTCGTGGATTTAGTTATGAGCGTTTTGCAAGGATCAACTCCTAAACCGTATCCACAATATCCACTAGCGTGCGCCGTGCAGGCGGCCACCTTTCCTTCAATATCCAATAGTGCACTCTTCATTTTAAAAACATGCTTACCCCAGCACAACTTGGCACTTGGGTGTATATCGCCAGGCTGCAGTATGAGCCCTTACAGAGAGTGATTGATGTACAGGATCCGGCCTGGAGAAAGGGTGATGTGTTCGGAGGAACCGTAGTAATCGGGGAGTGGGGTCGCCTCACTGGGACGTTAATGATAACAGCCTTGTGTAACCCAGAACCGTCAAAGGGGAGAGTAATGGGTGAGCCAGTGCGCTCGGTTGGGCCAGCGAGCGTCAAGTCGAGAAAATCCAGCGTCAATTTAGCCGCGATTGTAAACATTGGTCTGACACCTCGAGAATGCTAATGCCGAGATGGGAATTCTCAGGAGCGCGGTGCGGTCTGAGACTTGAACTCGGCAGAGGAGTCGAGAGTTGAAAGTTCCGCTTGAGTTGCCTCCATAACTGTTTAATATGGCTGCGGTGCACTGGGGTGAGAGTGAGCGATTCATCTCAGTTCTCTAGGTACTGCTTAGCATTGGTCTCTAAAGCTTGGCCATCCAAACAGAATCAGATATGACTTATTTTTTATGGCCAGAGCAGTCAGGGTGTCTGCCAGCTGTCTGCTGGTCTCGCAGCTGCTTGCCATGCAATTTGCTGATTCCGTTTAATTACACCAGTAGCTTGTTGTGTTTATTTTCTATTCATTTACGAAGGTGTTTGTTCGAGCTGGGCATTTAATTAGCAAAGTTTGGGTATTAATGCAACAGTGGTGCATTTAAACCTATTATGCTCTAATCCTCATGATCACTTTTATTGTACTTTTAAGGAGAACAAGCTTATTAAAGACACGGCCCCTCGGATGAAGTTGACCGGAGTGGAAATAATTCAACCATCCAACATTTCTAATATCTTTTACACACTAAAAACAGACAGCATGAGTCCCTTCAGGCGCTCTGCCTCACTAGATGTGATTCATCTTCACTCGGCATGTGAAAAGATTCATCATTTATGCTGACAAAATATAAATGCCAGGGTTGTCACATATTCAGCTGGCCTCGGGAGCATATGAAAGGCACCCAATGGCCACAGTGAATAGGTATGGTAAGCATTTGTGTTTTACATGATTGGATTCCAAGTCCTAGATGGTAAGTTTCGAACCCCATACAACATTGACTGATGATGTGGTCATTTAGCGTGGCTCGTTATTGCAGTAGGCAGTCTAGCTCAGGAGAAAATGATATTTTATGAGGTTTTATTGTGTTACGTCATGTCTTCCGGCGTTTATGCAAACATTTATAGACGTATAAACTCATGCATAAACAGCCCACCTTGCTGTGTTGACATGTACGGTGGGATCCAGCGTTTCAGCCCACAATTCCAAATATGAGATTTAAAAGAACAAAGGAGCATTATGTACAGTATATGAAAAGAACAAATATGTGACATTTGTCCAAAATTGTTACAATGATCATGTGTGCAAAAGGTCACAGTTCATGAAGTTCATGTGCTGCTGTCATGGTAACGTTTTCGAATAAGATTACAATTATTATCATTATGTAACATATTACATAATGAATGTTAATTCCATTCATTTACCAATACATCATTAAGTATATATATATATATATATATATATATATATATATATATATATGAAGAGTTCAGATGCAAAAGCCTCTAAATGCCATTTGAAATTTTCTTCTTTAATGATGATTTTTATCAAACTTGTATATTTAAGTTCAGTAATTTCACTTAAATGGCAATGATAATTACCTATTAATTGTTATTTAAGTGAAATTACTGAACTTAAATATACGAGTTTGATAAAAATCATCATTAAAGAAGAAAATTTCAAATGGCATTTAGAGGCTTTTGCATCTGAACTCTTCATATATACTTCATATATATATATATATATATATATATATATATACTTATATATAATTAATGATGATTATATATAAATTGTTAATAGTATTTAAAGGGATAGTTCACTTTGAAATTAATTTTTGATATGTTTTAGCTTACCTCAAGGGCATCCAAGATGTAGGTGTCTTTGTTTCCACAGCATTTTCAATTTTGACATTTTTTGGTCAAACCGTTGTTGTCTATCAGTCCTATAATGCAGTTTGAGGGGGTCCACCTCAAAGAGCATGCACAGTCAAAATTAAACATGATTTAATGACTCGTGAATGTAAGTACACACTGATGGCCTAAGACATGAAACGAGCGATTTGTGTGAGAAAACGAACAGTATTTATATAGCTTTTACCTTTTGTTAACAGCCGTCGAACTGATCTGAATCAGATTTCCAACTGAACCATCCCCAGACGTTACGCCGGAAGTGATCTCTCGCGCGTCTACGTCACGCATTGTTTACACAGAGATTTCGGAAGTTTTACCTTTCACTTAACATATTTAGATATACGGGAAATCGCAATGGAAGACGATTTTGATATATCTAAATATGTTTAGTGAAAGGTAAAACTTCCGAAGTGGTTCCACAGCATTTTCAATTTTGACATTTTTTGGTCAAACCAAGTTTTGACCAAAAAATGTCAAAATTGAAAATGCTGTGGAAACAAAGACACCTACATCTCTGATGCCCTTGAGGTAAGCTAAAACATATCAAAAATTAATTTCAAAGTGAACTATCCCTTTATTGTAGCTAACATGAACTAACATTGAACAGTTGTATTTTTATTAATTGATGTATTGCCTGACAAATGTTTGGCTTACTGTTAGTTAATCTTAGTCATTGCATTAACTAACCTTAACTAATGGGACGTTATTGTTAAGTGTTAACACTGTCATTAAAGAAATATGAAATTTATATTTTAAAATGTAATTTATTCCTAATGGTAAAGCTGAATTTTCAGCATCATTACTACAGTCTTCAGTATCACATGATCCTTAAAAAATAAGTTTTATTTGCTGATTTGGTGCTCAAGAAACTTTTCTCATTATTATTATTGTTGAACTAAAACTATAATATTTTTACAAAACAGAAGGTTGGTGGTTCAATCCCCGGTTCCACCTGACCAAGTGTCCTTGCATGGCTGACACCCCCGTTGTTGAATGAATGAGTGAGTGAATGGGTGAATGTGAGGTGGTGGGGAGGATGGAGATGAATGGAAGTGTCAGCATCTGCGAACTCAAACATGTGTAAGTACCGGTCTTTAATACCGCAGATATTAGACACGATTGGCTAGATGAGAAGGTAATAAGTGACGTAGCAATTTCTACCAGATAGACTCGGGAGAATAAATTCTGTTACAATAAATGCATTTATTGATCGCCCAGCAAGCAATAAAATTCATTTGGCGTAGGCCCCGTCCATAGCTCACAATCCGAGGGTCCGGACTCTGCGTTTCCTCCCTGAAGACGA